GATACACGCGTGACACACGGCACAATCTTTGTATCCCATTTTCTTTTTCGTTGCCGCCTTTCCTCTGTGTGTGTGTGTGTGTCTTTATGGCGAGTTTGTAACTTCATTTGTATACACGCGTGACACACGGCACAATCTTTGTATCCCATTTTCTTTTTCGTTGCCACCTTTCCTCTGTGTGTGTGTGTTTGTCCTTATGGCGAGTTTGTAACTTCATTTGTGTGTGTCGTCATGGCGAGTGTGTGTGTGTGTGTGTGTGCGTGTGTGTGTGTGTGTGTGTGTGTGTGTGTGAGAGAGAGAGAGAGAGAGAGCTGGTGGGTGCCCACCTTCATGGCTGCCGACTGGTCTCCCGCTACCTGCTGGCGCTTCCCACCACTGCCTGTCGTCAAAGGTGTCCCACCGAAGCCGTCCGCCGAAGGTGTCTCGCCATTTCCCTCCCCCCTTCCTTCGTCCGTCTCCCACTTCTCCCACCTTCGTCGCCCTCCCTCCGCCGCTCCCCACCTTTGTCGATCACTCCGTTCTCCGTCCTTCGTCGCGTCTCTCCCTCCCTCCTTCGCCGTGTCAAGGTGCGAATGGCGATGGGGGCGCACAACTTGGGAAACCGGCCGGCCGCCTTCTCCAAAAAGATTTTTGGGGGAAGGGCCTGCCGAATTTGAATTTTCGAATTCGGCAGGCCCTTCTCCCAAAAACAAAATTTGGAGGAGGGGCGCGGCCGGTTTCCCAAGTCCCGCGCCTCGGTTGACAATTTTGCTGGGGTGGGGGCCCGCAATCCAAAGAGAACCCAAAAAAAAAAAAAAAATCCCACCACCCCTATTTTTTGGCATGCGCTGCGCGGTGCGCAAACCAGCGCACCGTGATGCGCCGCAACTATGCTTTGTTGTTAAACGACTTAAATTGCGTTATATATCCTTCACCTGTCCGGCACCATGAGGCTGCTGCTGTGCAATATGCAGTCGCGAGTCTTCTTCTCCATGGCTGTAATTCTTCGGCAAGTGGGTTGCAGATGCAGCGCAGAAGTGACCGAACAGATGGAGAGAAGAGTGGGAACAGGCATGAACTTACGGGTGAAGTCAATGAATAACTGTCTTGACGCCAGCTTTGGCTGGATTTAGGATCGCCAGAGTTCAGATGCAAGAGGCGAATAACGGGAGTTGAACCCGTGTTTTCAAATTCACAATCTGACACTTTGACCTATTCAGTTATATATATTCGCCGTGGTCCCGACTCGCTCGAACCGTCGAAGTGTTTTAGTCTGTCGTGTTTACCATTTTCACCAAGCGAGTATGCTCACTATCGGACTTCAATCATCAGGTCACCCTGCCCGATGGACCTGTTGCTTGCTCTCTGCTGATGCTGTTCTGATTTGTGTGATGGCACATATGACGGTAGGTGGGTGCTTGCAATCACGTGGACTGTTTACGGCCTTGAGGTGTCATTGTCGGACTGACTGTTTCAGAGCTATTCTACTTTCTTTTCCGAAGGGCTACAGCCTTGAGGTGTCATTGTCGGACTGACTGCCCCCTGGTAATCTGGAGCTATTCTACTCCTCTTCTCCCAATAAGGATTTGAACTGAGGTCTGTTTTTTGACAGCTCATGGGTGTGCTATTCAGCCGCATGCATGTGCTTGGTACATCTTGATTGACATGCATTCCTCGCAGATGTGCTTTCATTTCCCAGGGTTTTTTTTTTTTTTTTTTTTCCCCCCCATTATGCTCTACTGCTCCCAGGAACTCTCTCATCAGTCTATGTAGGGATGCCTAACTAACTACATTGCTTGCTATGTGCAATGCAGATCGAAAGGAATGAAGAAGTACTCTGCAATTGACAAGTGGACAACGCAGTTGCGGACGCTGCATCAGATAGTTATAAACAAACTGGGATGAGACGGTGTTTGCTTTGTGGCAGACTTTCGCCGGCTGTGAACCTTCGCGACTTCATGCAAGAGCAATCAATGTTCAGCATCTGCACCAAGCAGTGTGACACTGGCCTCAGAGGCTGGGAGTCGGCCAACGGCTCCTTCCTTCATGAACCTATGGACGGTGTGTGCTATTGCGGTTAGGTTGCTTGAGGACTCACATCGCTATTGAGGTAGCGTGCTTGTCTGAATGTCGGAACCAGTTTTCCAGACGCTGAGCAACGTGGTTGAGCATGTCCCCACATCCCCCTTGTCATGGTCCGACTTTTCTCTGCGAGGACAGAACGCTAGTGGGCCCCAGTTTAGAGCGAGAAATTGTTTTCGGGGTCCCTAGCCAACACCAGAACACCGGCGCTGGCAGCTCCCCGTCTTTTGAGATTGGCCTCCAATGCGCCGTGAAGTCTGGTTAGACTCGATGATCCATTCAGTGTCCAAGGGAGAGGGCAGTTACAAGAGACCAGTTTGAAGCGGAAGTCCACAGTAGTGGTGCTAGGCTGCTGATTATTCACACAAGATGCCCAAAGGCAGGCCAGTTTGAAGCGGAAGTCCACNACACAAGATGCCCAAAGGCAGGCCAGTTTGAAGCGGAAGTCCACAGTACTGGTGCCAGGCTGCTGATTATTCACACAAGATGCCCAAAGGCAGGCAGTGCTTGACACTGTGTAGAGGAACGAACGGATGGATGGATGGATGGATGGATGGACGGACGGATGATGAATGCTGCTTTGCAGAACCCTGTGTTCTGCATCATCCTGCCTATGTAATGGAAAATAGTGCGGGCAATTTGAGACAAACCCTGTTTACGGCCGTCAACTTTACCACCCTCGTTGCCCATTATCATCCCTGAATGACAGTAAGTACTAGGTGGTAGGTAACTGGGTGAGGAACAACCCGGCAGACTACGTTTTTCAAATATACCACCCTCCTTGCCCACCTCTTGTGCGGAACCGTAAAAGGTATGAAAGCATGTGTTGCAGGTTGTTTGATTGTTGTGCCTCCTGTCACACGATCAATTAGCCACTGATTATGTAGGATTATCGGTTGGCTGCGCACTGTCAACGGATTAATGCCTTGTATGATTCTTGAAATCCTTCTGCTGGAAGGCAGGGATCCACTGCGATTTTGATATCCCCCTCATGTTAAAAGGATGCAATCAGGATCCTTTTGACGCTGATGCATGCATTCATGTGGTCCAAATTTGTTATTCTCATTTTCCATGGTTATGTTGTAGATGGACTCGATGTTCAGAACTCTCTCTCTCTCTCTCTCTCTCTCTCTCTCTCTCTCTCTCTCTCTCTCTCTCTCTCTCTCTCTCTCTCGCTCTGTGCGTGTGTGTGTGGGGGGGGCGGGGGTATGTGTGTGCGTGTGTATCTATCTATCTATCTATCTATCTATCTATGTATTGCTGTCTGACTGTCTGTGTGGTGGGGGCACACAACCGT